CCGCCCAGTGGTTTTGTGTCTTGATTTGTTTGTTATGCGCGTTGGTGTGCGTGCGTGCGCGCGCGCGTTCCTCCGTTCGCTCCCCCGCCTAATGCGGGGCGCCGTATCTTCGCGCAGCCTCAACCCAAACCGCGCGCCAAGGCAAACCGATGCAGGCGGCGGTGGGTGAGGGGGAAGCACGCGGGCGGGGCGCGGTCCGCTGCGCAGCCACCCAACGCCAAAATACGCACCCCGCACGCCGCTCTTGAAAGCGCCCAACCGCCAGGACCGGCCCCTTCCCCGCGCCGGTGGAGCCAACCTACGCACAAACATGCGACGCAAGACAACCACGGGGCTGCAGCCGGCACTGCGTGCAGCCTGTGCTGCGCGCGCGCTGTCTCGGCGTGGAAAACTGCCGGTCGGTTCTGGGTGGCGTGATGGGGCGCGCCTGCACCGCGCGACTCCGCACAAGGCTCACGGGAGAATGTGGGGACGCGGGCGGGTGAGAGCGCGCGTTTGAGCCACCCATGCGCGCGCGCGCAGCCGAGCCATCGCACCTGAACGTGGGGCGCCCCACACTACCACGACGAGGACGACGACGGCGGCGACGCCGACGCCGGCGGCGACGACGACAGCGACGACGACGACGACGACGACGACGGGGAGGGGAAAACGAGGACGACGACGACGGCGACGACGACGACGAGACGGCGGCGACGGCAGCGGCCGGCGGCGGCAAGCGGCGACGACGGCGACAACAGCGACAGCACGGCGGGGGAGCAGGGCGCACATCACAGCGCAGCGCATCGCAGCCACACGCCGCCAAGCGCGCGCGCGCGTGCGCGCGCGCGGCGAACGACACCTCGGGGGCCGGGACAAGTGCACCAAGCACGGAGCCGATGGCCCGGGATGCCGCACCGCTACACACCACAGCGCAGCACAGCGCAGCAAGGCCGCGTGTGCGTGTATGCATGTATGTGTGTGTGTGTTTGTGTGTGTTGCGTGTGCGTGTGCGTGTGCGTGTGCGTGTGCGTGTGCGCGTGCGTGTGCGTGTGCGTGTGCGTGTGCGTGTGCGCGTGCGCATGCGTGTGCGTGTGCGTGGGCGCGTGCGCGTGCGCGCGCACGTGCGCGTGCGCGTGCGTGTGCGTGTGCGTGTGCGTGCCCGTGTGCGTGTGCGTGTGCGTGTGCGTGCGCGTGTGCGTGTGCGTGCGCGCGTGCGGCTGCGTGTGCGTGTGCGTGTGCGTGTGCGCGTGCGTGTGCGTGTGCGTGTGTGCGTGTGCGTGTGCGTGCGTGCGTGCGTGTGTGCGTGTGCGTGTGCGTGTGCGTGTGCGTGCGTGTGCGTGTGCGTGTGCGTGTGCGTGTGCGTGTGCGTGCGAGTGCGTGTGCGTGTAACGTGTGTGCGTGCGCGTGCGTGTGCGTGTGCGCGTGCGCGTGCGTGCGTGCGTGCGCGTGCGCGTGCGTGCGCGCGTGCGTGCGTGTGCGTGTGCGCGCGCGTGCGCGTGCGCGCGCGTGCGTGTGCGCGTGCGTGCGCGCGCGCGCGCGTGCGTGTGTGTGCGTGTGTGTGTTTGTGTGCGTGCGTCTGTGTGTGTGTGCGTGTTTCTCTTCTTCTTCTTCTCATGCTTTTTGTTTGCGCTTGCGCGGGGGGAATCTGCCGCGGTCGATCGCCCAGGAGGGCTCGAGACTGCCGCTCCAGCGCGGATCGCCCCCGCCGAAGTTTCCCCAAAAGTGTTTGTCTTCTTCTTCTCCTGCTATTTGTTTGCGCTTGCGCGGGGGGAATCTGCCGCGGTCGATCGCCCAGGAGGGCTCGAGACTGCCGCTCCAGCGCGGATCGCCCCCGCCGAAGTCCCCTCAAAAGTCCCCTCCTGAGCGGGGGGTCCTGGATCGCCCGGGGGGGTTCCAAGACGGGCCGGCTCGCCCTGGGGGGGGTCGGCCCGAGCGGCGGATTCGCCCGGAGGGGTCTCCGCCGCCCAGTCTTGCGCGAGTCGCCCGGGGCGGTCTCGCGCGGGAACGGCCCCGGCGAATCGCCCCGGGGGGGAGCCCGCGGGGGCGAGGCGGCCCGGGGGGCGCCTCAGAGGACAGTGCGCGGCGCGAAGGATTCGCGCGAATCTTTCGCGGGACTCCCGCGATGTCTTCGCGGGGGGCCCGGGCTCTCGCGATTTTTTTGCGGGGGGCGCAGCGGCCCGGGCAGTCGCGCAGGGGGGGGGCGGGGGCGAAGAAGATCGAGGGGGGGGGGGGGGGGGGGCCGACGCCACGGCCTCGAGGGCTACCCCCGGGGCCGCGCGAATGACGGACAATTGGGGCAGGGGGCGGCAGCGGATAGAGCAGGAGGGGAGCGCGAGCGGCGCACCGAGGAGCAGAAGCGGGAAGAAGGGAGTTCTCTGGTAGATCACGCCAAGAAGAGGGCGAAGTTGATGACTAAATTAAGGCTCTGTCTGTGCACGAGCCACCAAATGCCCCGCCCCCCAGATCGGGCGGACTTCCAGCGACTTATCAACTGGCTGTTCGTCCACCACTTCGGCCGGGCATGTCCCGGGCGCATCCCTCGACGTTTTCCGTTTCGGGTGCCCCTGGACATTCCTTTTTGGGGGTGCTGTTTGAGAAACCCGCGCCCAAGCTTTCGATCGCGCAAGAGCCGTCGCACCTGACTGCGATTTGCAGAGATGGCGATTGGCTCGTCTTCTTCCAGAGCCACGTCGTCGGGCGACTCTCCAGCCACGAAGAATACCTCGTCATCGTCCATGAACTTGATGGCCTCGTCCACGATCTCATCCCCCTCGCATGCCTCGGGAAGACTAAACATGTTGCGCGAGAATACAGTGCGCCTCGCCGCGGACCGACCCCCGTTCCTCGCATCCGCCATCGTCTCCCAGATGGCAAGCAAAAAGCCAGGAGGAACGCATGCCGCGGATGCCATGACCGCCTTTGCCAGGAGGCAATGGTCGCTCAAGCTTCCGATGCCCTGCGATCGCCGAATCAAAATCGCAGGATCCTTGCCCCGTCCTCAACCGTATCCCAAGCAGCGTCGTTAAGATTGGATTCTCTCAAATTCGCGCGCCCTTCCAAGTCCTCCGGCAGGGTCGCGCGCTTCTCGAGATCTCGGAGGAGCACGCGCTCACGCGCGATATAGTTGACCAAGGATCCCCCTCGCCTGCGCTTGGTCTTCCGAATAGACAGGCTTCTCAGGGGCCTTCGGCACTCCGCGGTCCTGATGATTGGCAAAAGCCCTTCTGGACGCGTTTCATCGCAACCTGCCCGCCGTCGTCGGCAGACAACTGCTCTGCTGATCTTGAGGTCATATTCTGGCATGGCGGTAAATCAGGTATCCGCGCTGTGCTTTTCAAAACTCTGGCAGTAGCGAGCCAGGTCTGCAGCTCCTTCATGTTGGGGTCTAGGCGGATATCATTTTTTCCCATGCCGATGGGAGGTCGGTCGGCTGGTATCTGTTGAGCCTCCACTTGCTAAGGAAAGTGTCCCCGTTGGCAATCGGTTGATCGATCAGTGGCATCTCAACAATAGGCCGGAGAGGCAGGAACAAAAGGCAGAGCTTGTCCTCGCAAGCGCGTGAATTGCCGATATGGCGCAGCCGGCGAACCACGTCCCCGCCCAGTCCCCACCGATGACGATCGTTGCGTATTGGGTTGTGCCTCCGTCCGTGGCTGTGATAACCATCGGGCCCAGTCCTGATCTGAGCAGCCCACATCGCCATCACCTGCCCAAGGATCCTGATCTGGTTGTCACCAAGGACGTGCTTGAAAATCAGGCTCTTAAAGCTGAGCGTCGTCTGCAAAATTCATGGCAGCGCTCGGTGTAATGGGGTAATTAGAGAACGGAAGAAAGGTTGAAAACTAATACATAGGTCACTCGGGGATCGGATGACAGGGGAATCGTCCTGACTCCACTCGTGCATCTCCACCACAAGCTCCGCTGCCACTGTGGATTGTACGGGTGTTGCTGTATGGATATACAGAGAAACGGAATAACATTGGGGGGCCGTGCTAGAAGGCAGCACGTCTTTTGTCCTATAAAAGGCCGTGGGCGAGTCCGCCACCTGCGCGCCATGATAGCCCAAGGGCCGTTGTGAGCCGACATGGCGGCGCACCTGGGAATACAGAGGAAGCGCAGGAGGAGGAGAGGCTGATAAGGGCTCTGCAACCACAGACCCACACCACACCTGCAAACAAACGGATTGAACGTCGACGGGTGGGTGCAGCGCCACACCGTCTCACACACGCGCGCGGGGACCGCGCTCGCGCCGGTCAATGTGCTCCTGGCAGCAGCCGGCAGCCGGGCCAGCGGAAGCCGGAGCGGCGGGCTCGCATGATCGAGAGCACAAGCTGGCCAGAATTAGGACGACCAAGGGACAAGCAACGACAGGGAGAAGCAAAGATCGAAGAGCGAACAGGCGAGGAAGCAGACCAAGGGACCCGAGGGACACGGGCCGACTGACAAAAGAGGGGAAACCGAGGAGAAAAAAGGAGACATCACACACCACATGGGCAAGGCAAGGCACGAAGAGGGGAATCACCCGAGGAGGGACGCGACGAGGAAGAATGAGGTACAACACAAAGGCAGGGTGGAGAAAGGAGAGGACCACGGGGCGCGGCCGGAGGCACGCCCGATGGGCAGCGACGAAAGGAGACCGTGCCTCGGGAGAGGGGTACGGTGGGGAGAGGAGGAGACGACGACGACAGAAGAAAAACGACAAGGACGGGGAGGGGGGGAGGGGGGGGACAAGCAAATTACCCGAGGGGACACGGAAAAGGGTGACAGAATTAATAACCCGCCCCGACGGCGGGGGGAGGACAAGCGGATCACCCGCTGCAAAAAGGAAGAAGACGGGGCGACATAATTCATTTTCAAAACCACCACACTCCAGGCACTCCTCATCCTCCTCTTCCTCTTGTTCCTCCTCTTCTTCCTCCTCCTCCTCCTCCTCCTCGTCCTCCTCGTCCTCTTCCTCCTCCTCCTCCTCCTCCTCCTCCTCCTCCTCCTCCTCCCCCTCCTCTCACTAGCAGCTGGGCCTGAGTGGCCAAGGTCGTGGCCGATGCCCGCCAGCTGCTGCCAGAAGATACCCATGATGGCGGCACCAAGCATGCGGCCGCCGGCGCCTGGCAGCAAAGGGGGAAACCCCGTCTACGGACTACGAGGACGACGCGTCGGCCGAACGCAGGCGGGCGCAGGGCTACGGCGACGACGACGACGACGACAACGACGACGACAACCACCACGACGACGACCACCACCACCACCACCACCACCACCACCATGACGACGACGAAGACGACGACGACGGCGACGACGATGACGGCGGTGGCGGCGACGACGAAGCCGCGCCCCGGGCCCAGGAAAGGGCACTGGCCAGGGGCGGTGCTGGCGCGCAGTCGTCGCCCACTGGGCTGCTGCGCGAGGGGGGATGTACGCAAGAGTGACCCTGGGCCACCAGGAACTGCCACTGCAAGAGCGTGACAGGCTGCCGCGTCTGGGATGTTGCGTGTGGTGACGGGCGCTTACACCTGGTAGCCCACAATGCCCACAATGACCGCACGGTGATTTTCAGTGAAAGTCGCTATCAGTAGGCCGCCGAGTCTGCATGTTGCCCTCAGCTGGTGGCGGCCCCCAGCTCGGCTGACAAGCCGCCGGCCGGCGGGGTGCCAGCGACCGAAGTGGGGGTCAGGCTCGGCGAGCGCGGGCGAATGCTGCGGCGGCGCCGCCGGGTGCGGCTGCGGTCCGGTTCGTCAACGGACTGACGCCGCTGCCTCGGGCGGCCGCGGCCCTCCCCGCGGCGGCGGCGGTCCCGGCTCGGCATGGCGAGGCCGCCCCAGTTTCCTAACCAACCCTTCTCCCAAGGCACACGGGCGCCCGCCAGGGCAGCTGCTGCGGGCGGAAAACGGCGGAGGTGCCTAAGGTGCCAAATAGGGCGTGCTGGGGGCAGCCCCCGCCGGGCAAGATTGGGTTTCGATTGCGAAGAGCATGTTGAAACTGGGAGAGGGGGGCGCTTCGCCAAGGATTCGACCAGAGTATGTTAATATTATGAAACTAAATAAAGTCAAAGACCATGGCGGAAAGAGGGAGAGAACAAAAAAAAAGAGGGAGGCCCGCTTTTCCAAATCACGACAGCGATCGCTCCCTAGGATCCCAAGCATGCGAGCAAGGTCGTTGGTGCAGATCCCTCTCTCTTTGTGGCTGTCCCTGTCTGTGCAGTTGAGGGTCGCCTCCAGTGGAGGCACATGGGCCGGGCCCTGCACCCCTCGGGGAGGACGCGCCATCACTCGGCTGTAGCGCGGCAGCGTCCGCGTCGACATCAAAATCTCTTCGCGCCCTTCTCCCCCCCCTTCTCTCTTTCCTTCTTCCCCCTCCTCGCACAGCCGTGGGCTTCATCGTCTTCGGGCAGCTGGCCGTGGAAAGCTATCCGACCCTAGTTGCCGCCACAGGCGACGCCCGCGCAGCCTCGCCTGGAGTCGGTCGCCGCCGCCGTCGCCGCCGCCGTCGCCGCCGCCGCCGCCGCCACCGCCGCCGCCGCCGTCGTCGTCGTCGTCGTCGTCGTCGTCGTCGTCGTCGTCGTCCGCGTCCAGAGGCTATCGGAGGTATTCAGAGACCGTCGTCCTCCTGCCTCCCTCCCCTGTTTCCCACTCTCCTCTCTGTCCCTTCCGCTTAATCCCTCCCCTCTGCCCCGATGTCCATCCTCTTCCTGCCCCTCCCTCCCCTGTCCCCCTGCTTCCCCCGTCCCCCCCTTTTAAACTTCCTCCTCCCTATCTCTGTGGGGCGTCGCCCTCCACATCCCGAACCAAGAAGGTGGCGTGGAGGGGGTGCAGGGAGGAGGAAGGGCAGGGAGGGGGATATGGGGAGGAGGAGGAGGGGGAGTAGAAGGAGGGAGAGAGGAGAGGGAGGCGAATAAGGCGGACGTAGAGGACGATGTTTGGCGGGGTGTGTCTCGCTGTCTCATGGGTGATGTGCTGTGCATGGGTCGAGGATGGTATCATGTCTTTGCCATAGACGGCACGTTGAAGATCGCTTCGCAATGCAAGGTCGTTGGATGCACCTGGGAAGTATTGACACCATCTCGTTGCGCAATATCAGACATGGGCCACCGTAAAGGTATTCAGAGTTACCTCCAGCATTCAGCATGGCGGGCGAGCATATGGGGCCATACGTCGAAGGCACATCGCGCTCTGCAGGGCCGCCAGCAAAAGTGGGGCAGTCTCTGGAAGCACATAAGGGCGCATACCTGGGCAGACGTGCCTCAACGTTCTAACCTCCACGGGGCCGGGGAGCACGGGGTGGACGTGGACGGAGGAGACTGAGGAGGAGGGAGGCGAAGGGTGCGAGGAACTGGGCGAGCAGGGAGCGAGGAGGAGGCCCAGTCCCGGTAACGGCGCACTGGAACCCGGCTCCAACATCAAGATCTTTCTGCGGCATAGCGTCCCCAGGAAAGATGGGCAAGAGTGCCCCTTGGTGCGCAGCAGTTCGGGGGCCCTCGGGGGCCAGGGGGGGAGGGGACAAATCCAAGCGCAGGCCAGTACTGGGGGGACCCCTGTGGGCCCGAACCACACAATGCTGGCCGAGGAACAGCAACGGATGCCCCAATCCGGCACCGATCGCTGTTGGGCAAGCGCCCTAATGTCTCAAACGGACAACGTCCGCGGCGGCACAAACAGCGAGTCCCGTTCAATTTGGACAGGAGCTTCTGCGAGTTTTCCTCTGGATGCCGCCCATATGGGATTCGAATGGGAAAAGTGCATCGGCGATGCGTCGGCGCTTCATCGGTGATGTCGGCGTGAAGAAAAATGCAGTTGACGAGCTGACGGCCTTGGCTGCCTATCTGAAAAGCACGGGAGGATCACGTGCCCAGGGCCTGTAGTAGGGAGGGAGCTGTTGAGTTGGCAGAAAAATCCATATACTGTAAGCAAGTCTAATAGAGAAGAAACGCTCGCAACGCAGTGTGCACCAAAAGCGAGACGGCAAACTCGGCTAAACTGTCTGACATCCGCGCGGGCAGCGTGTTGATTCCATGCCGCGGAACCTCGGACGCACGATGCATAACTACCAGGTAACTACCATGCTCCACCTTCCCAACTCCTCTCGATAATTCCTCCTTTCTTCTCCCCATCCCGCCCTCCCCCCACCAAGCCCTCCTCCCCCCCGTTCCCCCCAGACACGGGGGGAGGAGGGAAAGAGTGGGGGGGGGGGGGAAATCGAGCCCTGCCAACCAATCCCCTGACTAACCGCCCTGCATGTTTCTACGTTGGCACGCGGGCGCCTTCCGAAAAAACGGACACCTTTGCGAATACAGCGAATGCTTCGCGGCCGCGAAAGGCCCAGGCAAGCCAAACAGGTGGGCACAGAGCGGTGGGAGAGAGGAAGACGGGAATGATGAGGAAGATGGGTAAGAACCCCCAGGAGGATGAGGGGAAAACACCACATGAAAACGGCACCTCGATAACTCAGCGGAAAAAGCATTGCCGGTCTGCAAACGAACCCAACCCTTTTCAGCTGCGATTGAGGCAAGATGTGTCCCCCCTCTCGCATCAGCGCCCAGGACCCTGAGGTCCGACGCGATGCGAATAAAATAACATGTGCAGGATTGTGCTTGTATTCAGCCGTTTGGTCTAGAGCAACACGTCGCCATTCGGCAGCCAATCCTCTGGACTCCCACGGCGAAGCCGCTACCTCGCGGCGTCGATGTTCCCGTCGCGCCGTGCCCGGCTGAAGCGCCAAGGACGGGATGGGAAACGGAAGCGGGCCCCTGCTCGCCCCCGGCCCCCTCCACGCACACACACACACAAACACACACACACACACAATCACAAACACACACACACACACACACACGCACACACATTTGTTATGTGGGCGGCAAGGAAGAGTTACTGCGCCGGCGGTCAAGCTAAACGGGGCTACCGAAGAGCGTATTGCCAAACATGCAAGAGGAGAGACTGAGACATATAGGGTGGCTGCGGAGGAGGAAGGAGGGAGAAGAGAGGGGGGACACTCAGAGGCGGAAGACTTCCACACACACACACACACACACACACACACACACACACACACACACACACACACACACACACACACACACACACGCACACACACACACGCACACACACACACACACACACACGCACACACAAAAAAACAAGCACAACCACAAACACAAACACAACCACAAACAAACAAACACTCACACACAAGCGAACAAACAAACAAACACACACACAACCTCTCTCACACCCACACACACACCTACACACACCTACACACACACACACACACACACGCGCGCGCACACACGCACGCACGCACGCACGCACGCACGCACGCACGCACGCACACACACACACACACACACACCAACAAAAACACAAACACAAACACACACACACACACATACACACACACACACACACACACACGCACACGCACACACACACGCACACGCACACACACACACACACACAAACACACACACACACCTTCGCGGCCAGCCGCCCCCCGCCCACGGCCCAGGGGAACCGTCGCACGCTTAACGGTCGCGGCCCCGCCCGCAGGCTGACGTCGCGGCTCGCGCAACTTGTCCGGGAACCGCCAGGCAGGCGCCTTGGGCGCGAAGGCCGCCGCCCGGGCGGCTCTCGTGATTGCGCGAGTACCAAGGCAGCCGCCGCCGCGGCGCAGGCGGTGAGCGAGGGGAATTGGGTCGCAAGGCCGTGCTCCGCGAGGGTCTAAGGAATCCCCCCGTTGGCATTCAGTCCACGGGCCCTGGGACCAGTCGCTTGAGGGCACTCGCCTCCTGGGCGCGCGCCTCCGCGGAGACCCAATCCAAATGCGCGACAAAAAGGAGCGCGCTGGGTCCAGGCGCAAGCCCGGCAAGCGCACGCGGTGACCCTGAGCCCCGCCCCGAGAGATCTCCAAAGCTCCACGCGCTCCAAAGAGTTGCATATAAGCACTTCCCATAGGCGCTCCCCGCCCGATCCCTGCCGCGAAGCCGAAGCACCGGGCAAAACGCGCCGAACCCAACTGCACCCAAGCAGGCGCCCGCTCCGCGATGGTCGCGCGAGCCTGCGCGAAGTCCCGCACGCACGCGGGCGCAACCGGCGTCTTCTCGACGCCCGGC